ATAATTTTCGTATTTCTTCAATTTATCAATCAAAATCAGCCGAAACCCAAACAAAATTGGTATGACTGAATAGGTATTTTCAATACCTTTCAAACGAGCTGTCACTTGCCATAGGGTCCCATTTAAAATTTTTGGTCACAGTGGCCTTGTGACGTCATTTATGACTATTGCGTCACCTGTTATGACCAGTTAAGAAGCCTACATCCGTTTATTTCCACCCTCCAAATTTCATTATTAGAAGTATACCCGTTCAAAAGATACGAGGGGGGGAGGGGACTTTTGACTAGCACTGTATAATATTTATAGCAGCTCGTGGCAAAAATATGAACAGTTATAGAAATTTTCATCATAATTTCAGATCACATTTGTAAAATCGTACTCTAGCATTGAAAATTGATCGATTTTACTACCATCCTCATAATTCCCTATCTTTATTTCATAATTTTATATAATGCCAATCCCTAACCAATTACTGGCTCAAATAATTGATAGTTCATTGTCTATGAAAAAATCCAAATAACTTTCCATATAAGTAGAAAAATTGATAAACTGTTGATTTCTCATGAAAATCGTACTTTTTCAGGCAGAAGATGAAGACCAAACCAAAATATGGTATAAACAACTGCAATATCATGCTCAAGGAATGGGAGCTTGGAGAAAAAGAAGAAACGCTTTAGCCAATATTATGATAAATGGTATGGGGCTGCGATCGTAACCTAGAATGAGAGAATAATGAATACTTCCCGGAAAGTTTCCATGAATGAATTCTGCTCAGTCACGTTCACTTGGAAATGTTAAGATGTATGATAAAGAAGAAAAAGATTTTGATCGCATATAAAATGACTATTTAACAATGTAATGAAAAAGAAGTCACCCTCATAAATGCAATAATATCCATTTCATTCCAAACTTTCGTCACGTCCACTTCGATATGTTAAGATGTATAATAAAGAAGGAAAAGATTTTTATCGCATATAAAGTGAATACTTAACAATGTTATGAAAAATAAATCACCCTCATGAATGCAATAATATTCATTTCATTCTAAACTTTCGAATATGTGATGCACTGTAGTAATGAATATTACTGAAAATTTATCCCAATACCAAACCGTTATTTAGGTCTGCGGTTGTGTATCGTACGCTTTGTATTACTGATATCTGCTGAAAAAGTCTAGGGGCTTTATATCAGGTGATCTAGTGGGCTATTCGAATAGACGATGATAGGTCTATCTATCGGTTTAAGCATTATAGGACAACTCCCTATTACGACAGGCTATTTTGGAAGTGGTTAGATGATAATTAGCCAAACCAGCGGATAGGTAAACGTATCCGCTCAGAAACGCCCTCTAGATATGAATATGAAGTATACTTCAGAAAATTGCAATGCAAGGTTTTCTCTCAAGCACAAAAAACAAGCATTACAGAAAAATCTTTAAGGCGCTCTTAGAAAGTTTATTTCACATAAACGCGGTTCTCCAATTCGAAGAGTTCCTAAACAGTGAAGTTCGAGGTGTACTGAGTTGAACCTCAAAATGATGAGCAGCCACAGTTTATCGCGTATTTCTGATATGTACCGCTCTCGGTGGAATCGAATGTGCCAAGTCACTTGAACACTTCCCATAAAAGTATCTATAGAAGAGAGGCAAATCTCCAACCTTTTTTCGATATTCCGGACTATCAAGGCTGCAAGTGATGTTCGCGTCTTCAATCAGGTGGATGGCTCTTTTCTGGATGGAATTCAGCAGTTTCAGGGTATGTTTGGGGGAGGAGCTCCATGCATGTGAACAATACTCCAAAGAAGATCTGATCTGAGCTTTATAAAGCATCAAAAGTTGCGAAGGTGTGTACAGTTTTCTGGTTCGGAGCAGTATTCCAAGCTTTTGAGAAGCAGCCTCTGCTCGATAACATTCATTTTTTTGGAGAAAACCAATGCCTGGATTTTTGCTGCATTGAATTGAAATTACTTAATTTCACCCCAATTCGAAATTACTTCTAGATCCTCATTGAGATATTCAACCTCCTTCTGCCGGTGAAGATGTGCACCCGCTGCCGGTGAAGATGTGCACCCGCAGCCCATGTCCTGGAATCCAAATGTAATGACGAGACAAGTGTGCTGTCGTCAGAACAGCAATATATTGGATATATTGTTTTTTTTCCAATAAGTCGTTGATATACAATAAAAAGAGGGTTGGATATAATATGAATCCCTGGGGAATATCAGCATTGATGGTGAAAGTATTTGAGTGATATCCATCGACGTCCACTCCCAGGGAAAGTTTTTTCAGGAAGGCCATACACAAGCCATAGCATCGAATTTTGCCCAGCAATCCCTCATGCCACACATGATCAAAGGCCTTAAAAATATCAAGCACAACAACTCCTGACTCTCCATGTTTCTTGATTGCGTTATTCCAAATATGGGTGACATATGATAGAAGGTCGCCTATTGATTTTTGTTTCGGAAAGCCTTATTAATGATCGCTCAAGATGTTGAAGCCTTCTAAATATCTGAGGATATGGTGGTTTACAGATTCCTCCATGATTTTTGATATCACTGATAGCAAAGCGACTGGTCTATAGTTATTTGGAAGAGTTTTCTTGCCCCTTTTGTGCAAGAGCAAACTTTCAATAAGAAGGAAAAACTCATTTCTTGTAAGACAAGTTGAAAAGTCGAAAAGCCCGTCAAGTACAATGACGGGCACTTCATCTGGATCAGATGCCTTGTTGATATTGAGCTGTTTCAAAATTCGCCTGACTAGA